ATGATAGTTTTACTTCTTCCTTTTCATTCATTTTGTGTTTCTTTATCCTGGCTTACTGCAATGGCTCTAGAAGCTACTATAATGTTGAAAGAAAATGGTGAGAATCTTTTCCTTGCCCCAGATAGTAGGGAAAACTATCGAGTCTTTTAATCATAAATATGATGTTGTTTGTAGGTTTTCATAGATGTACTTTATTAGAGGAGATTCTCGTCTATTTCTAGAATACTGAGAAAGTTTACCACGAATTTGTGTTAAATTTTCTCAAACGTTTTTTCATCTATTTTGTTAATATGATGAATTACATTGAATGACTTTCATATGTTAAAATAATTTTGTATTCCTGGGATAAACCCCACCTTATCAAGATTTATTAACCCTTTTAATGTATTGTTCATGAGGAATATTGGTGTGGATTTTTTTTTCTTTTAATTGCCTTGTCCCAGGTTTGGCCTCAGTCCTATACTCACCTCATGAAATGAGTTGCAAGGTATCCCTCTCATCTGCTATCTGAGAAGATTCCAATAAAATTGGAATTATTTCTTTTTTATATGTGTGGTTAAATTCACTAGTGAAGCAAGTGAAATTTCTAGACACTGCCTCTGGAGGTTGTGAAAATATTTTAATTATAAATTTAATTTCCTCACTAAATATAAGGTTAATCAGATTTTTCTCTTCTTATTTAAGTTGGATCTTGCTTTTTTAATAATTCAACCACTCTGTGTCTTTTCATTGGTGAGTTTAATCTATTCACATTTAAGGTTATTATTGATTGGTAAGGATTTGCTCCTCCCATTTTGTTTATTGTTTTCTGGTAGTTTGTAGATGGTTTGTTCTTTCTGTCTTATCTAGTTTTGTGATTTGATAGTTTTCTGTAATGCCAAGTTTTAGTTCCTTTCTCTTTCTCATTTGTGTATCTGCTGTAGGTTTTGCTATGTGGTTGCCATGGGGCTTACATAAAACATCTTATACTTATAATAGACTATTTTAAGCTGAAAACAACTTAACTTTGGTCATACACAAATATGCTAGACTTTTACCCTTCCTTCCACAATTTATATTTTTATTGTCACAATTTGCATATTTTTATATTGTATTTCTTAATAAATTATTATAGCCCTAGGTAATTTTGACCATTAAGACTTTTAACCTTTACACTAGACATCTGAAAGATTCACTCATCACCATTATAGTAATTGAGTATTTTGAATTTGACTATAAATTTACCTCTACCAGTGAGTTTTATACTTTCATAAGTTTTCATGATATTGTCATCTTTTTGTTCAGTTGAGTAACTCCCTTGAGCTATTTTTGAAAGGCAGGTTTTGTAGGGATGAATTCCCTCAACATTTGCTTATCTGGGAAATAGTTTATTTCTTCTTTATATATGCAGGATAGACTTATAGTATTCTTGACTGGCAAGGGTTTTTTTTTTCTTTCAGCACTTTGAATATATCATCTCATTCTCTCCTGGCCTGCAAGGTTTCTGCTGAGAAATTTACATAGAGTCTAAGGAGATTCCCTTATATGTCACTTGATAGTTTCTCATGTAGCTTTTATAATTCTCTTTGTCTTTGGCATTTGACAGTTTAATTATAATGTGCCTCAGAGAGGACCTATTCAGGTAGAATCTATTTGGGGAGGTTTGAGCTTCATAGATCTGGATATCTTCTAACAGTTGGGAACTTTTTAGCAATTATTTCATTGAATAAGCTTTTTGTCCCCATCTTTGTCTCTTCTTCTGAAAATCCCATAATGTGTATGTTTTTCATTTAATGGTGGCCCTTTAATCCCTTAGGCTGGCCTCACTATTTTCATTTATTTTTCTTTCTTTTTCCCTCTGAGTGATTAATTTCAAAAGATGTACCTTCAAGTTCACAGATTTTTTTCATTCTTGATCTAGTCTTTTGAAGGTCTTTTGTATTTTTATTTCATTCAGTGACTTCTTCACCTCCAAGACTTCTCCTTGGTTATTTTTTTAAATAATATCTCTCTTTCTTGAATTTTTCATTCAGATAATGAATTGTTTTTCTGATTGTTTTGAATTGTCTATCTGTCTGTATTCTCTTGTATTTTATGGAGGTCTCTTAAGATCATTTTGATTGTTTTGAATTGTCTATCTGTATTCTCTTATAGTTTATGGAGGTCTCTTAAGATCATTTTGAATTCCTTTACAGGCAATTTGTAAATTTCTATTTCTTTGGGTTCAGTTACTGGAGAATTATTGTGTTCCTTTGATAGTGTCATGTTTCTTTGGTTTTTTTCATGTTTCTTGGGATCTTTCATTGATGAATGCATATCAGGTGGTACAGTCACCGGTTTCAAATTTATACAGTGGCTTTCATAGGGAAGATTTTCACCTGCAGATGAGTCCTATGCTGTTGGTTGGGTAGGGTATCTAGCTCTGGGTGGGCACAGTAGTGTAGTCTGTGTGGAGCTTTTTCAGCTGTGGCTGATGTCAGCAATGACTACAGATGCCTCGGTGGTCTATTCTAGGAATTTGTGGCAGCAATGGTGGCAGGGTAGATTGTTAGGGGATTATTTGCTGAAATGAACTTTAATGGTCCTCCTGTTCTCATTTCCCCTACAGTGGGAAGAATAACCAAGGGCGTCCTACATGGCCCACAGGCAGCCACCATAGCACTCTGTTTCAGGATACTAGTACTCTCAGTGGCTGTGAATCTAGGGTCCTGGGCTGTTTGTCTTACTGAACTATTGTGGCACCTGTGACATGAGTGCATGTTCACTCTATAAGGTAAGGGTGACTTCAGCTCTTTCACCAAATTGAGGATTGACTCTGAGGCACTCAGCAGTACCCTGGGCCCAGAGGGCATGGCTGTGACTGTGACTCTGACCCAGGCCATGAGAGCACAGCACTGGCATGGCTCTAAGGAAGAAGAAATATTCCAGAGGTTCAGGCCCCAGTGAGCAAGATACAGCTGCAATTTGGGGCCCAGAGCCAATAGGGCACAGTAGAAACTTGAGCACTAGGTGATAGGGTACTACTACATAGTGGTCACTCTGAATCCTGAAGTAGTGGGAAACAGCAGTGCCCCAGGCTCTGACAGGTTGGTTGTAGTAGGAGGAAGGACCCTGGAATGTCAGGGTGGCGCAGTTTCTTGGATTCCAGGGAGTGGAGACCAATACAGTGATGGCTTCAGTCCCCAAGCAGGTAGGGCACCTCAGCAGCTCAGACTCTGGAGGGCTAGTCTAGATGCAGGGAGGTGAGGCACTACAACTAGTCAGCCCAGAGGATGTGGTGGCACAGCTCATCCAAAGTTCTGTTTTTCTGGAAAACAGGGTACCACATCAGCTCAAGTGCTAGCCTCTGCTGAGCTAGGACCTGGTTATCCAGATTCCTGGGGGTTGTCGCACCACTTTGGCTCAAGTGCTGGGATGTGTGTCTGCTCCACTGGGCCAGGGTTCCTTGTCTTTTGGGGCTGGGGTACTATGTCTGCTATGCAGGGTTTCTCCACTAAGCCAGCACTCCTGGTCTGGGTGGCTGGGTAGCATGTGGCTTCAAGTGCTGAGGTTGTGGCCACTCCTCTGGGCAAAAGTTGTGATTTGGGGGAAGTGGGGCATTAGGTTGGTTCAGGCACTGAGGAGTTGTGGCTGTTCCATGGGCTTGGGTGTGATTGCTTCACCAGACCTGCAAGACCAGTCCCAAGTAGGGCATTACATGGGCCCAGGAGTGGGGGTCACAGGTGTTTCCCTGGATTGAAACTCCAAATCCAGGTGGGGTTGGTTGGGAGCTCTGGGTTGGTTCAGGCACCTGGAGGTACATCTCTGCTGGACCTAGGCTCTGAGTAGCTGGAGGTGGGGCACAGCAGCAACTTGGATGGAGAAAATAGCCTTCCTGGTACGTGGCTCTTCCCCAGGGGATAGGGAAGCTGTAGCAGCTCAGCTGGGGAATGGCACATTTCCATGTGTCTGAGCCTGATGCAATGATGATAGAGCCTTAGGGATAAAGGAATGCAGTAGCCACTGGCCCCTAGAGAAGGACACACTCCAGCAGTAGCTCTGGTTTCAAAAAGGTACAGTATAGTGACAGCTTGGGCCATGGGGCACATGGCACAGCGTGGACTCCTCCTCTGAAGTAGTATGTCCCTGTGAACTCCAGGCAGCCCTCTGAACTGAAGTCGGGCCTGTGAGGACTGCAGGATTCACCAATAGTAGAAACTATAAGTGTTCTTGTGGGTAATGGGGGCTTCTGCGAACCTTCTTCTTACTTTTCCCCCTTAGGAAGAAGTCTCTCCTGATTCCAAGATGATCCCAACTGGGGGATGGGGTGGCAGAGGCAAGGTGTTTCCTTTTCTTATTTATGTAGCCATTCTGAGTTTCTGTGTTCCACACACAAAGTGCAGGGTTTTACCCTTGTTATACTCTAGCACTCTCCTTTTATCACTCTTGTCAAATGCAGTTATTTATTATTGTTTTGGTCCTTTTTTGTGGTGCGAGACCAGCATTAGGCACCTGTCTATCTTGTTGATGTCCCTTTATCATCTTTCATGTTTGATTCGGTTTGATCTTAGTTCTATATTTTCTATAATTAATAGATTTCATTTTAAAATATTTTAATGGCATCACCTTTGAATAGAACAATTTTTCTCCCTGTATTAGCAAACAATACATTTTGCTATCCCATTGGTTATAGTCTACTGTCTCTAGCTGTTCTTATCTTTTTCTGTTATTGCTTGTTGTTGGGGATATATTTTTTCAACTCCTTAGACACTCTTTGCAGTCACTAACTTTAAGTCTGAAACTGATCCACATACTGAGTAGTATCAGAAGGCAATATTTGAAGACAAACATTATCTAAGGACCTTTGCTCCCCACTTTAAAAAAAATAATAAAATTAGGAGACTTAAAAGCTTCCATCTTCCCCAACGAAGACTGCATTTTTCAAATCTATTTTACTAACAGATAAGGTATTTATCTTCTTGTATATCTATTAAACACATATATAAAAAAATTAAGAAATAATTGAAAACATTTTTACTAACGCTTCTAGTGCCACAATCACATTGTTCAATATCTTCTAACACTCCATTGCCACACATGCCTCTTTTTTGTTTGTAAACCGGGATATCAATAATGTTGTTCTGAAGACAGTGAAGTTCATTTTGTGAAGCCAAATATTTAAAGTCATCCAAGCTACAGGTGCTAAAATCCTTTATACCCCTAGAGTGCCTAAAATATAAAAATATGAGTATAACAAAAATTATTGCTACTTATCTCTATAGTTCCCCTAATATAGTATTTTGAACAGAGATTTAAAAAACATTATTCTTCATGGAGAACAATAAGCAAACCTTTAAAAAAACATTTATTGTATTGCCACTATGTTTAACATACTTTTTTAACTCCACCAAGAAAAAAAAATGAGAAAAATAATATATTCCAAAATTCTTTTTCAGTCATTCATCTTGTTTTATATAAGACCTAGTATATAAGAGGGAATTTCAAAAAGTTCAGGGAAAAAATGGATTTAAAAGATAAAAATAAAAAAATATAAACTTATTTTTCAATATAAGCTCCATCAACACCAAGACACTTTTGTAAGTGATGATGCCAGCCATTGAGGCCATCCCTAAAGAACTGAGTGTCCTGGGAATTAAACCATGTCAATTCAGTCTTTTTTACATTATTATTCACTGAAGAAAAGTGGGGCCCCTTCATTTTTTAAGATTGGGAAACAAAAATACGTCAGAAGGACCCAAATCAGGACTGTAAGGTGGATGCCTCATGATTTCTCCTCAAAACTATGATAAAATTGCCCCGTTTGGTGAGAGACATAATCAGGAACATTGTCATGGTAGAGAAGAACTCGCTGATGAAGTTTCCCCAGGTGTTTTCTGCTAACGCTTCGGCTGACTTTCTCAAAGCATTCTCACAAGAAACAGATGGTATCAGTCTTTGGCTCTCCAGAAAGCCAACAAGCAAAAGGCCTTGAGCATCCCAAAAATCTGTTGCCATGACCTTTGCTCTCCAGCGGTCTGCTTTTGCTTTGACTCCCATCTCTTAGAATCCATTGCTTTGATTGTGCTTTGCCTTCGGGGTCATACTGGTAAAGCCGTGTTTCATCTCCTGTTACAATTCTTCAAAAAAGTGTTCAGGATCTTGACTTCCCCCTTTGTTTTTGTTTTTTTTTAATTTCCGTGAACACTATGCTCTTGTCTGCAGCTGATCTGAGTTTTTGCATCCATGTAGTAGAAAGTGTGCTCAGCTTTAGTTTTTCAGTCAGAACTGTGTAAGTTGAACCAACTGAGACGTGGATGGCATGGGATACTGTGCTGTTAATCATCAGTCCTGTTTAATTAGCACACAAACAAGATGAATTATTTCTTCACAAATTGATATGGATGGTCTGTCACTGCAAGCTTCACCTTCGACACTATCTCATCCTCATCCCTTCTTAGAATGTGTGATCCATTTGTGAACTGCTGATTGCTTTAGGACATTGTCCCCATAAGCTTTTCATAGAACAATGATTTCACATTCTTCCACCCACACTTCACCATAAATTTGATGTTTGTTCTTGCTTCAATGTTAGCACAATTCATAATTGCTCTGATAGGGGCTTTGTCAAACTGATGTTTTATTCTTCTTAGTGCCTCAAACTAGATCTTCTTCAGATGTGCTATAGCAAGTTAATATATGTTTGTTTGGGTGCAAAAAAAAAATTTGAAATCTATGCATAGTTTTTCTCAATATACATTTTCCATGAACTTTTTGAAAGCCCCTGAACCTATCCCTATGACCTTTGTTAAGTCTTTAAACATAGGAATTGTGTTATTATCCTCTTCCCAGTGCCAAAAAAATTGAATTTAAAATTTTTTATCAGCATTTAATATATTTTCATCTATTTAATTTCATTTCTGTACTGTTTCCGCAAATGCCTATATAAACATGTTAGTATTAACTTTAATAGCATATTTTAGAGTTTATGCTCTCCAAAATTAAACATCTTTCAAATAAAAATCAGTTATATATTTCCTATTCAGACAAGATGACATAGGCTTACTTTACCCTGCTTCTCCACACTAAGTACAAGTATAAAATCTGAAATCAGCGCATGAAGCAACTTAAGGAGAATTCTGAAAAGTCAAAAGAGAGACTTAAACAGGTTTGAGTTCCCAGGACTAGAAGAACAACAAAGTAGCTCACCATCTTATATCTCTCCACCCAGCAAAACACAATGGCCCAGGCTTAATGCTTTGAACCTGATGACAAAAGACAACCTGAGTAGATTCACTCCTCCCCAAGATCTAATGGGAGTCCTGCTGAACACAGGAGGTGAACATGGCACCACCAGCAAGGGAGATCACTCTGAATCTCCGCTAAGAGTAATTGACCAAGGGAAGTGCTCTCCTGACATGGTAGGCCTCAGACTCCCCTCAGCCACTGAGAGTCACCAACTGGCAGGACCATACCGGCAAGAGGAATCCTGATACTACAAATGCACAGCCAAGTTAATCTTGGAGAATATGCATGTCAAATAAATAATGACATTAACAGATTATAATACTAGTAATTAAAACAATAATTCAAGTTCCTGCTAATGTAAACAAATATATCAATAAATAAACGGAGGAGAAAGAAAACAGCTTCCTATAATTGAATGCTAACTTATGAACGACATTCACTATTTGACAAGTATCATAGTAATAAATTAACCAAGAATTATCAATGGATGCTAAAATTTATGAGTGAAAATTTAATAAAGGAAAGGATATTTACATGGCCTCAAAGTATCTCTCTACAAAATAGAAACTACCAAGGGAAAATTACAAAGCAGAAAATAAAAGCTTTATAGTAGAGAAGGCTGGAAGATGCTATCCAAGTGAGCCAGCATAGCATCACCAACAACAGAACAAGCTGACACAGGTACCTGCTGGTATGGTGCAGTGCAAAAGACATGACATCACTTCCCCGGTAATTCTGCCAAAGATAAAAAAAAAAAAAATCTGAATCTAATCAAGAGGAAACATTAGATAAACCTGAACTGGATATCCTACAAAATAATTGGCCTATACTTTTCAAAACTGTCAAGGTCATAAGGGACTAAGAAAAACTGAGGCACTGTTTCAGATTGAAGGGAAATAAAAACATATATGTCAATTAGATGCAATGTGTGATCTGGATTAGATCTGTAAAAATTATTTTTCTATTACTGTATAGGATATTATTAAAATAACTATCAAACACTGGAAGGAAAATAAAAAGCAAATCATTCCCTGTCTTCCCACAGGCAGGAAAGCACCTGCAATAAAAAAGGTGCGGCCAGAGAAGGCTTTGTCTCTGTAAGCCTGGACTATCCTTGCCCCATTGAAAGAAATGAGGCAACTAGGACTACGGGGAAATGTCTTCTGCCCCCTCGGAGAGCACAGCAGTGACCCATGACACCTCACGGTGAGGATGAAATGACACAGAAAAGTAAACAGCACAATGTACGAGGAAATAAAGGACGCAATGTTAAAAGTGAAGATATTTATTTTAAAAACAAAAACCTATAGGTAAGATCATGCTGTAGTTTTATGACCCATAGCACTGTAAAAACCTGAATGATTTTCCCTTAAGATTGGGAAAAAAACAAGGATTTTCACTCTCACCCTCACCACCTCCGTCCACGTTGGACTGGTGTCTTCTCAGGTGCAGGTAGGCAATAAGGAGGAATGACATGCAAGTAGACAAAAAGGAAAAAGAAAGTAAAACTGCTTTTATTCACAGGTGACAAGATCTTGTTCATAGAAACTCTTGAGGAATCAACAAACAAAATATCCCAGAACTTCTAAAAAAAAAAAAAAAATTAAGCAAGTTTGCAGCACTCAAGGTCAATAACAAAAAATCAATTATATTTCTATGTACTGGCAAAGAATCATCTAAAAAATGAAGCGAAGAAAACAATTCTATCCATAATAGCATAAAAAAAGAATAAAATACTTAAGGATAAATTTAACAAAAGAAATGTAAGCCCTGTTAAATGCAAAATATAACACATTGCTGAAAGAAATTAAAGAGGACCTAAATGAATGAGGACATATATCATATTCAAAGATCAAAAGATTCAACTTTGTTAAGAGGGTAATCCTCCTGAAATCAAACCATGCTACTGAACAGTACAATACTTACAAAAATCACAGGAGGAATTTCTGTAGAAATTGGAAAGCTGATAATAAAATGTATATGAAAATGTAAAGACCTAGACTAGCCAAAACAATTTTGGAAAATAGGAAAAAATCTTAGGGGGATTTTCATGTAAAGCTACATTAATAAAGACAGTGTGCTTTTCTATAAAGATAGAAAATTTAGAATGAAATAGAATACAGATTCCAATGATCTACACATTTATAGTCAATTGATTTTTGACAAAGTTGCCTATGCAATTAAGTGGGGAAAAGACTAGGTTTTGCAACAAATAGTGTTAGACTAATTGTAAATTCATATGCCAAAATAAAAACTAACTTAGACACATTTACAATTAACTCTAAATATATCATAAAACTAAATATGAATGCTATAAAACCATGATTCATAAAAGAAAGAAATTGATAAACCAGACTTCAAATCAATTTTTTTAATTCTCAAAAAAGAGACTGTAAATAAAATGAAAATATAAACCACAGACCAAGAGAAAATAATCGAAAATAATGTACATACTAAAGAAACTATAGCCAGAATATATAAACTAATCTTACAACTCATTAAGAGCATGAAAATCTAAATGTTTATTTTAAAAAGTTGAAAAAATATCTCAATAGTCACTTCACCAAATAAGGTATTTGCTGATATGAAGCATGAAAATATGTTCAACATTGTTAGTTTCCAGAAAGGAGCAGATAAAACCAATATGAGATAATACTACACACTGAACAAAATTACTCAGATTGAACACCCTGAGCTTACCAAGTCCTGACACTGATGTGGAACAACCAGGACAAACTACACAATTTTCAGGAACCAATTCAAAATGGATATTTGGGGCCACTTGTTTATAAAGCAGGGGAAAAGTACTGTTAATGATATTAAAATAAAAATCTCTTTCCTTTCTTCAGCAGTCTCTCTTGCTCTCTTCCTCCCTCTGAACTTGTCATGCTGTTATTCATTTGCTATTTAATGTCAATCTAAATAAAACTTAAATTTTAAATTATTAGCATGAATTTTACCATTTACTTTTGCATTGTACAATG